ATTTGCTTGCCATATAATTAGCTGAGTTCCAGTGAAGGCGTAAGCAAGGGAAGGTCAGAAACAGCTTGATGAAGAGAAATAAAGTGGAAGAAAATGAAGCCTACTTGTCCAGTGGCAGCAGCAAGCAGTTTGTGACATAGCACAGTTGAAGACAGCTTACTTTTCTCTGAAAGATTTTGTCTCTGTATAGATTGACAGGAGCTTTTGCCTTGGAAACTTAACTGGCCTTGAACTTGTTATAAAGGTGTTTTGCAACGCATCTGAGAAACTAATGTGTGATGCCCAATTCTGCTGGTATCAAGTCTGTATAATTGATCAAAATACTGAGGAAACTTCCTGAAGTGCTGAGAAGCTAGAGCTCTTGTAGTTAGAGCTCACTGGAAATTCTTCATCTTGACCAAAGATGGATAGCTTAATATAGAATAAATTTCTGGTTTAGTCCCTCAAGTTTTGAGGCTTTTCGTCTATTTCTAAATAATCAGAAATATATTTGTGGTCTCATATTTTGGATCACTAGAGGCCTGTCTGTAAGAAAGAGTTAGTTAATAGCTCAAGTGTTGCCTCTAAGTGAGACAGGTCAATGCACACAAATCATTATCTTGCATAAGGTGATGGCCTTTTAGCCCTGGCTAGTTATGGCTGAAGCCTTTAGAGAAAATTTAACAGTTTTTAATATGACCTTGTAGTCGTATAGATAAAAGCTGAAGTGCTGCTGATCCTACACGTGTAGTTTTGGAATCCCCCATATTCTGGAAGAAGATACGAGTCAGCTCACAATGTGGAAGCAGATGTGTAAATCATTTTACGCGTGTTAGTGTAGAGAACAGGATGCGCTTAAAGAAGTTTACTGTCACTCCTGTGTTGTGTTATACTATAGATAAACCAAGTTAACTGTGCTGAAAGAAAGTGTTGGGGTCAAGAAGAGGGAAGATGACTCACAGTACTGGTATCTAGTCTGTGTCTTTACATATGAGGAACTTCCAAATGCTGTTGCACTGTTCTGCTGTAGCCCCATGGAAGGAAATGGGTGTTGCATACGCTAAAGTGCCTTTCCTGAGTTTCTAGGAATTTTCATGTATTGCATTTTAGTAATATTTTCTGTGCAATTTTTTGTTTGAGGGTGACTTTACAGGTTGTGGGGTTTTTGTGTAGACTAATACTCTGTGTGGTGCTTTATCTCTACCCATCAAAGCGTGTTGCTAGCAGATAGTATGTAATACATAGTACGTCATCTCGTCTCACAGTTCACTTTGTGATAGCAAGAACTTTGAAGACAACTTCTCCCCTTTCTGTCTCAAGCCCATACGTTGCAAGAATAAGCCTTTTTAAAATAGAGATTTATGGAAAAATTAATATTAGGATTTTGCAGGAAATTAACATTTTCCAAAACTGGTAAATTGTTTTGGGGGATGGCATACTTCTTAGATACCTTTTTTTTTTTTTTTTTTTTTTTTCCCCACTTGAAATGGCTATCTGGTTTAATAACTCGGACTTCACAAATATTTTCTATTGCTTCTCTAATTAACTAGGTGAAAAACCATCCTTTTTATGAAACTGCTGCTTTTGCTTTAGCCAGAAGAGGTTGTTACAATAACTTAGATAAGTTACTGAGTATACTGCATCATAGCTACTGGGTCTGTTTGGTTTGATTTTTTTTTTTATGAATAAAATAAAATTTGGATTACAACCTATAGTTTCTCTTCATTTGTAACCTGTTAATATGCCTTTAAATACTCAGAATTAAACTCTGTAGGCCTTTTAAATTCTTTTCAATAATGTTGATTCAAAGATTTTGTGGGAAATACTGAAGTGCAATTAGGTTCTATTTTTAAGATCGACACATGCTTTCTTGAAGAAAGCTTGAGTAAAAAGCTGGCTGCTGATTGTTATTTAGCAAACTTCCTCTTCAGGGTTGTGGTGTGTCCGTGTTCCCATTACTATGTGCTGGTAACAAAAACCGGAACCACACCCCATTGTATTACTCTAAATTCACTCTTTTGGAGTTGATGGATTTTCTCCTGTGTTAATCTTGTCAATGTAAGCAGCTGGTTGCTGGAATGTACATGATAGATACCCCCCCGCCCCAGTTTCCTCGACCAGGCCAGGAAGAATTATCTTGTAGCTAATCAGAGAAGGTTAATAGGCAGCGTTGCCTTCTGAATGAGTCGATGAGGTACATGAAGGCTTTGTTTATGTTAATTTTATTAGAACACTTAACACGAACTTAACTTGCAGTGTTTAACAAGTTTCTTCCTACAACTGGAAAGGGAAACCATTGATCATAAAACTTCAAATATTAGTGAAATGCATCAAAGAGTAAAAGTGGGAAGATGGCAAAGGTGATACCCAAAATGGCAATGAGTTATTTCCACCCTCTCACCCCCTCAATTCAGTGAGCTTTCAATATAGTGGTACATTGTTGGTGTGTCATCAGTTCCTCCTCTCTCATTTGGAGAGTAGAACTTCCTATTTCCTACATGTTTGTGAGGTTGTAGTTATGCTTTGTCAAGATCTTTATGGTCTTCTGTGTGTGATGCAGCCCAAGTGTTCAGATAGATCCCTTCCACCTGAGTAGAACTTAGGTGTGTGCTTACATGAATTGAAGCCTAAACTACTAAATATTGATTGCTGCTATATCGTAGTTGTTGGTGATGTGCCCAATGGAATATTAAATGCGCATCTCTACTAAGAGAGCAGAAAAAGGGGAGGACATCGTGCAAAACAAAACTTCTTCACAGCCGTAGTGCCACAAATGTTTGTCCGTGTATGTCTGAAAACAAGGCAGGAGCAGCACCAATTTCTTGTCCTGAACTTGCCACAAAGACAGATGACCATAACCAGGCGTTTACTCTCGGGCTGTGGATCTTCTGTCCTTGGCTTCTTTTATTATTAGTGCTAAATGTCGTTGTAAGCCGTAACTTCAGCTTTGGTTGTGAATATGACCTTTTTCTCATTCTTTTCCATTCCTCGCTCTTCTGCTCTCAAAACTAAGAAAGGTGCTTTTAAGTAGAAGTCTGTCTGTGTGCCAGGCAGTTACTGGAAGTCATTTTGTATTTTGATCCTGCCCTTTTTCAGCAGCTCTTTTAAGACAGCTCTTAAACTAATGCCTGCTGCAAGAAAGTTTTTTGGAAGTAGGCTACTTGTAACTGGCACTACGGCCCAAAAGGCACACATTGCTTGACAGTACAGAAGTAGTAAACATTATTTGAGTTTAAGTTACAGTAAGGGTGTCACTGGAGAGCTTTTTCATATTGCTTGCAATCTGTGGCTCAAAGAAAACGGAAAATTTTGTCTCGGAGCCATGACAGACAATGTGGTGTATACTAACCTTCCCAGTGCTTCACATCTTGTGCTGTTAGTAGGACTGAAGAACATGCAGGGCTTTTCCATGCTGGAGTTTAGGGCTGGGAAGCGTGCTTTGACGTTTTATAGTGAACAGATAAGAGCAAGAACTTACCTGGCTTAAGCAATAATAGACAGTGATGTGAAATGCTTGCCTCAAACTTTGTTCAATGCAGACTGAACTTGCCGTTATGTATGAATTGCATTTGGTAATAATCTCAGGATGTTGTTACTAAGGGCTCATCTTGCCCTTACCCATTTTCTCCATCCATGAAGGAGGAGAGTCTAACTTTAGGAAACCAGGAAGACATTTTATCACTGTCCATAGAACCTTTTCTCTTTAAGACAGCTCTTTGAAGTCCTCAATCGGGAAGGTGTTGACACATAACATCTCAAAATATTTTTGTAGAAATTGATAAGTTATGTAAATGTCTCTTTGTACACTGGCTTGGTAGTATCTAGTGAAAATGCAAACAAAAATATTACCTGTGCCATGTAAATGCAATGGAAGAGAAGTCTTGAGTGATGCAACAGCAAAGCCAGCTCTAAGCTTTTTAAACTGTGGTCAAAAAAGAGCCTTGATTTGTGCCTTAATGAGAGAAATAGTTCAGTACTATTGTAAGTTCAAGTTCCTTTTACAAAGCTGCTGGGGTTTTTTATTATAATGAAATCTTGTTATGTTGGTTGTTTCCCATTTGTAAAGTACACATCTCTGGTCTCTCCCTCTCATTGGTCAGATCCATCTTTTTTTATTAATTGTCTTTGTCTTAATCTTTCCCTAAAAAAAGAAATTACTGTAATTACTGTAAGTGAGCTGAAAACTTGGTCTTAAATTTACTTTTAAGGAGGTGAAGGGAATTGGTTAATGAAAATGTGATTCACCATAGAAACAGCTCAGCCAATAGCATATATGCAGTAAATTAACCATTTTCTGGTTTCATATTTGGTACAAAACATAGCAACAGGATGATAGCTTGACAACAATAGCAGCTGCACATATTTTTCTCCCTTTTTTGAAAGAATGTTCTTGTGGAAAAAATAGATTCCCTGGAAAGTAATTTATATTACAAGTTTCATCACAAAAAATCTGTGGGTGGGTACAATAGGCTAGAAATTAAATTAGTGATTTGTATAATAAATGATGGTTTTGATTTGATGTGACACTTCTAGTCTCTTACAAGTGACATAGCTATAGGCAATAGAATAATCTCTTCCCCTTGTGAAGATAAATGTTGTATCAGACCAAACCATCTTATATTAAATTACAACTTCTCTTTTTTTACCATATGAAAAGATTCATGAGGCTGTTCATTAAATAATAGCACAACCCAATTAAAAGGGTGCTTTGGCTAAAATGTCTTGAAGATATTTTCTAATATCAGGCATGTAGTTAATTTATACAGGGTACTACATAAGAGACCTTATCTGAATAAAGGAATTTTCTTTTGTGCAGCAAGTGGAGTGATCGTGGTCACACTGAGCTAGAAGGTGCTTTTCTTGTATCATTTAAACTGAAATACTCAAATGCAAATGAAGTATGATGATAAGAAGGATCTTGTATCTTGACTTCCTTTCTTTGGGGGGGTAAAAGGGACATAGTACGTTTGGCTCTTCTCAACTTGATTGTGCTCACACCATTGTTTTTCATGTTTTGGCAGAGAGAAGGAGCAAGAAAGGGAAGAACAGTTAATGGAAGACAAGAAAAGGAAGAAAGAGGATAAGAAAAAGAAGGAATCTGCTCAGAAGGTACAATATGGTATTTGAATTCTTTTATCCAACTGGAACATAAAAATAGTATTGGGGGTAGCAAGATGTATTTGAGCTTAAAACCTTGATTGTTTAGAGTGATGCTTCATTAAAGACTATTTTTTGCATAATTTTTCTGAAACTTAAGTGTTTAACTTAAACATTTATTCTCCTTAGTGTGTCATGTGAAGTAAAAGTAGTTTTTGATATGAAGTATTAAAGTTAAGTTACTGAATATGGGCTGTCTTGATCTATGCAACTCCTGCTGTTTTGAGGTTTTTGGCAGTGGATATGCTGCTGGGGAGATTCTTGCAGTAAAATTGACTAAATATTTTCTAGAGCAAAAAGATACTTTTTTGGGGAAAGTCTTAAAGGTAGTTTATATGAAATATTTACTGCTGAAGGTTTGCTTTATTTTTTTTAAGTGTCACTTAGGTTTTACGTTTTCTGTAGCAAATAGCACTTTTGCTGAAGTGTATCAGTTTGAGTCTGAGCTGAGTCTGAAAATTGGTTTTGCTCAGAAAATGGGTTTGAACAATTGATACATTAAATGCTCTCTGTTTTGCTGAAAATCTACTAGATTGTTCTAGGAGTTAACGTGATGTGTGAACTTGAGTCTCTCACAGCTTTATCCATGCATTTTACTGTTAAAATCCTTTCTGCCTGGTTCTGGGCTTCCCACGTAACAATTCTGGAGTGGGTCCAGCAAAAGACCCATAAGATGATTAAGGGGCTGGAGTATCTGACAAATGAGGAGAGGCTGAGAGAGCTGGGACTGTTCAGCCTGGAGGAGAGACAGCTCAGAGGGATTTTACCAATCTGTGTATATAAATACCTTGTGGGAGGGAGGAGAGAAGGTGGAGGTAGGCTCTTCTCAGTGGTGCCCAGTGACAAGGCACAAGGCATTGTGCATGAGTTGAAATGCGGGAAATTCCAATTGATCATAAAAAGACAGGTTTTTTTGTGCATGTGTGTGACTGGGCAACCACTGAAACAGGTTTCCCAGAGAGGGTGTGGTGCCTCCATCTTTAGAGATGCTCAAAACCAGGTTCAGCCCTATGCAATCTGTTTTTGATGACTTCTTTGAACTGGGGAGACCCCTGAGGGTGAGTGGGGAACAGAGGTGGGAACTGTGGACTAGATCTGCAGAGGCTGTGTCCCTTCCTACCTCAATGATTATGTGCAACTGAGAGCGGAAGGCTTTACTTCCTTTGTAGTCCCTGTTTTTCAGTTGGTTCAGTAACAACAGATCCTATGAAAGATCAGATGTTACCTTATGTCAGATTCTGTAGGTTTCCACTGTGAACAGCCAGCACTGTTTTCAGTTGAATTTTGGCTTATCTGGGGTCTTTAGAATCGCAGAATCATTTGGGTTGGAAAAAAACCTTCAAGATGATCAAGTCCAAACGCAAACCTAACACTGCCAAGTCTACCACTAAACCATGTCCCTAAGTGCCACATCTACAAGTCTTTTAAATACCTCCAGGGATGTTGACTCTACGACCTCCCTGGGCAGCCTGTTCCAATGCTTGACAACCCTTCCAGTAAAGAAACTTTCCCTAATATCCCACCTGAGGCCATTTCCTCTCGTCCTAAAAACCTGGCTTTTAAAATCTGGCTCTTTCACCAACTGGAGTCTGTCAGTTTAAATTAGGTGCAGATAAACTGGTATATTTCCGTTGTCTTTATCCAGCCATTGTGTTGATACATCCTCAGTAATACTGCAAAAGATCAGTAGCTACGGAATGTTTCTTTACTGTCTTTTTGCCTCAGTGTTGCTACTGTTTTAATGTTCAAGTAGGAACCAGGAAAAGCAGACCCTGGTAAATAATGACTAGTGATTTGAGGATTATATGCTGATAATCAACGATAGGAGAGAAATTTGAAAAGATTGTACTGATTGTCTTGATAACGGTGCTGTGAGTATTTACTGAGGAATCGGTGCTTTGAATACAAAGGAGATTTGCCAGCTTTCCTGTGTGGTCCCTCACCTACTAAGTTATTCAGTATGATTGAATGTTATGATATTTTGCCAAAATCTTGGGAAGGGTAAACACAAAAGCTAATCTCCTAGAGACCAAACTGAACAGTAATACTTGGAGATATCTAGGAATAGTAAAGCAGGCAACCAAATGAAAAGAGCATGAATGTGTGTGTTTGTTCTTAGTGACTGTGGTGGTGTTCACCAAATAAACAGTAGTGATTTGGGGGTGCCTTTTTCAGACAGAGTTTGTTTAACATGAAACAGTTGTTTCTGTCTGCATTTTCTGAAACTTAAAAAAAATGAAAAACAAAACCAAAAAATCACTTCAGCTGAGGTTATGCAAAGTGAATTCAGACTAAATTCCTGTGGTTGGTGTCCCAGGGGCTGTTTGGTAGCTTGTCAGAAGGCTGTTTGACTCCACCTTCCCATTCACTGTAGCTGCTCCTGCCCTGCCAATGCTTATAGGCCGCCCACAGAAAGATAAAAACTGTAAATCTGAGATTGACACATTTTCTTAGCTTTTGTATTCTAGACTTGAAAAAAAAATAAATCACAAAACCAGATCTCATAGGAGAGAAGCAGTATAGGCAGAAATAATTTTGTTTTTTCCTAAAGCAAACTGTGGTTATCATGTAGAACTCTTTAAAAATTTGATAAAATGGGATTTTTCCAAGTAGGCAAGTTGCTCATTTACTGAACGTGTTTATTGATGACCATAGGAAAACCTGTCGGTGTTACCAGATTGGATTCATGAGTAATTCTTTTACCCTCTTCCTTTTCCTTTAGTAGTGAAGCATCAGAGTCACTTAAGTGATTAACAGAATTTTTTATTGTGTTACAGAAGACAATGTAATTTGACGCATGTGAGATTTTTTCATAAGCGAAGTGAAAATTGTCATCTGGCTTGGTTCAGATTCAGTTTTGGTACAGGTGCATTTTTAGTGTCACGAAGACTTTTGGATCACATAATTCTGTGTAGTTTAAATGCTTAAGATTTTTTTTTTTTATTATAGTGAATGTTTCACTTGCGTATTGCAGCATTCATCTTTGCAAAGTAAATGGTGCCATAGCAATTCAGTGCAGTTTGTCTTTTTATTCTTTACCATACAAAGGAGTTCTGGCTTGGTTGGTTTAAACAGTAAACTGCTTTTTACTTGTGCTTTCATTATTCTATACTGTCACGGTGTGCTTTCCAGAATTATGGACTAGCTCAGCAATTTCTTTCAAGAATAGGTGTCATCGAACCTAACACATGATGATCTTTAGGATTTTTCCATTATTGTGTAGTGGAACTCATGATCGACAGGTTCAAAACATGCTACAATACACATGATTCCAGAGAATATACCCGTGGTATGTTTGTCTCTACAGTAGCTTGAAATTTGTTATGCTGAAAGAATGTTGAAGTACAGCAAAACCACATATTGAGTACGTTGGCCAGCGTGATGGCTCATGTCAGTAATCAACTTCTCATTGTGTTCAAGAAATTTTGAAGTCTGGTGCTTTATGGGTATTTCTGGTCCTTTTTGTAATTGTGGCAGTGAATCCAGTAAGGTTTAGGATTTCTTCTCCTTGGAAGAGATGTCATGCAAAAGGTGAAATAGGAAAGATGGCAGAGAAACAGGCTGTTTCTCTCACCTATGGTTCTTCCTGTAGGAATTCTGTTGGTAGCCCCAACAGTCTGCTGTAAGGATACTCATGTAGAAGGAAGTATTTATTATACTTTAACTGTAATGCTTCAGCTCCAAAATCTGGAAGAGCTGTAGTGCTATAGCACGTGTTTATTTGTGCTTTGGAAGTCCCATGTGTGGGATTAGGAGGGGGGGTGACTAAAAATCATCATGAGTGAAGTAATTGCTGTTTCTGCTAGGGACTTCTGTTTGCATCAGGGAAAGGCATTACAGGAGCTGTAGTATTTTTGAAAATTTGATTTGTATAACTAGGAATACTGTTCAGACTTGTAGTTCATTAGCTGATTATTTTTATGCAACAACAAATACTGTTCTTGTGCTAATAAATTAAGATTGTGATTTAGTGCAGCCTGTTCAACGTTTGTTTTGAGGTTCTTAAAACTCTATTTACATTCTTGTTCTTAATTTGCAGGTCACAGATCAAAAAACCAAAGGTAAGAATTTTTGAACCTAACGGGTATTTTTTATTGACTTGAGCCAAGACTCGGATCTTGATCAAAACTGTTGCAAAAGGAAGGGGAAGTATAAATCATGATGAAATACTAAAGATGTCTCTTCAGAAGAAATAAACGCTGAGGTGATTAAAATGGAGAACCTAAAACTATTCATGTTGTTGTCAGCGTGAAAGTACTTGGAGAAGGAATGAGAATTGTGGATAAAATAGGTTAGCTGAAATATTTAGTTTTCTGTTTTGCAAAGGTTTAAGGCAACTAACCAAAAACTGAAGTCACTTACGGAATGGAAGTCAGGGAAAGCACTGCTTATGGTGAGGTATCAAAATGAGTGAAAATGACTTGTTTTTGAGAAACTTAAGAGAGATTCAGGCATCTAGAAGTCCAGTGGATAAGGCAGGACTGATGAGTGAGCATCTTGAAAGTTAAGCTTATTAAGCTGATCTAAAAATGTGTTTAATCTTGACTTGTGTCAGTTTTTTAAAAATTTGGTGAGGAGTTGCTGTTATTCACAGAAGAAAACTAAGATAGTAACAGCTAACTTTACCTTTTTTGGGGGTTTGGGGCAATGAAGCCTATATAGAGAAATTGGAAAACCCTTATGAAAATAAAATGTGAGGAATAATGCTTTCATGTTGCCAAAGAAAGACTCACTTGATCTCACATTTGTAAGAGGAAAAGTTTTTAAAAGTTTTAAAAGTTTGGGGTTTTTTACTGATTATGTTCACTTTGCTGGGAAGGGGTTTCTAAACATCCCTTTCTTGTATTAATCTTCCAACAGAGGTTAGAGTAGATGTATTAATTTTTCCATGCCTTTTGGAGTCTGATGTCTTAGCAATTACACCTTCTAGGTACCTGGCTAGGAATTTCTTTTTCTCTATTTCAAAAAAGCACATGGAGAATATGAGTAAGGGGTTATAAGTCTTAGAGTCTCTTAAGCAAGTTTTATGATGGTGTTAGCTCCCTGAGGATTTGTTTGTTGTTTTCCTGTTCTCCAATGCATAATAGCCCTCAGAAGCAGCTTGTCCTTGCTTATAGGGGCACCTGGTGACCAGCTAGGAAACTTTAGGCAAGCCTAATACAAACATTATATGTAGGACTGCCTTTTGGGTGGGAGTCAACTATTACTGCCTGCCTTAAGTGTGGTATAGAGAACTCAGATTTGTTAACTCTGAATCCAAGAGGAGAGTTCGGTTTTTTTCCCCCCTCTTTTTGTTTGTTTTGGCAGTGGCTATGTAGCCTAATAAGCAGGTGAAAACTTGGGATCTGATTTCTGATCTCCCATAAGGGTGATATAGCCATCCAAAAACCAGTTGGAGATCAGGGAACAGAGCCCGGGGATGGAAACCAGTTATATTTGACTGCTCATATTTTAAAATGACTCATTGCCCAAGGTGGTATTCTTAGCCAAACTCACGTTGCCAAGAAATTTGGGGCTTAGAGCTAAATACTTGAGAGGGCAGTTTCATCCTGGGGTACAGGTTGCACATGGAAACAAGAGGTTTGCCATTACTGCTTATTCCTGATTCTTTAATTAAATTGTTCTTCAGTAAAGTTGAAGTTGCGCGGTATTTCAGAGAAGATTGAAATGGTAAAAGGAAAGAGTAGCAGTGAATTCTTGTAGCTAACGCGGGTTTAAGTGGAAAAATTTCTGATTTTTCGTTCATCCTGTTTTTCAGTGCCCGAAGTGACGAAACCAAGTTTAAGCCAACCAGTGGCTGCCAGCCCAATTGGCAACTCTCCATCGCCACCAGTCAATGGTGGCAACAATGCCAAAAGGGTGGCAGTGCCGAACGGACAACCGCCAAGCGCCGCCCGCTACATGCCTCGGGAGGTGCCGCCGCGATTCCGTTGCCAGCAGGACCACAAAGTGTTACTGAAACGTGGGCAGCCCCCTCCGCCATCCTGTATGCTCCTTGGGGGTGGAGCAGGGCCTCCTCCCCCAACAGCACCAGGAGCAAACCCAAACAACGCACAACCAGTGACAGGAGCACTGCTGCAGAGCGACAGTGGGACTGCAACAGGCAAGTGATAATAATGCTACTAAATGAACATGTGTGTGTGCGTGGCAGAAAAGGGATCGCTAAAATTTTGCATAAGCACGTCATGTAATAACATTCAGATTGCATTTGGAGAGCTTACATCCGCTATTTTAGTGTATAGACTTTTCTTTTGCTATTAGCAGCAATGGAGGCAATGTTTAATACTAGATGGAACAAAAAAAGAGGGTTAATTTCTTTTAAATATTTTTGGGTGGTTTGAATCAGATGCTGTAATGCTTTTAAGACTGCAGCAAGGTAAACACTGCATGTGTAAACAGCATTTTAGAGTTGTCATCAAGTAGTTCTTAGTAGCTCTTTAAGTTTCTTTAGCATGAATTTCCTATCTTGTCACTTTATTATAAGATCTGATAAAACCGACATGTAGATACTGGATCTGCAAATGACAGATGTCTGTTGCTTCTCATCTGGATGAAAAAGATGTTCCTTTTGCTCCTGACTTTTTTTTTTTTAGTAATAATGTTCTTTTTCTCCTTAGACTAGCCTTTTTATATAAGTGGTGACTGTCCTGTGTTTGCTCTTCTGTTCACTTTGAATTTCAGAAGATAAATTGATTTTATGATTAAGTGTTTCATCAGCATGGGGAAATTATGACTGCTCCTGAATTTTTTAGACCCTTGGGGAATTGCAGTAACTGTAATATTCCCTTCTTAAGTTACCATAGTAGAAGAAACAAAATTCCACTGGACATCTGCCTTCTAAAGAAAAACTTAAGTGATATGAGAAGTCAAGGACAACTTCAGTTATAACAAAAACGGTGTTTAAAAAATAAATAATAAATGCTTTAAAGTCAAAAGACGAAAATAACTATACCACTGTGTCTAAATTTGCATTTGAAAACCATGCCAGAATAATGGGAGGGCGTTTTTTTTACCAGTCTTGGAGAGCATAAACTTTTTATAGTACTCCATGGTTCAGAAGAAAAAACAGAGGTGACTTGGAACTCCAGAATCAAGTAAGCTAGATGGGATGGACGCCTTTATTAAAAATGATTCTGGGAAAATGAATAATTCCATTTGCTTTGTGGTTTCAGTACTTTAATTCCTTTGTAGCAAATCCCTGTTTGACAGATTGTTTATCTTGTTGTCTTTCATGTTCCCTGTTTAATAAGGGTGGGGGAGTGAATTTCAAACTACAATGGCAAAGTTTTTGCTAATCAGTTTAAAAACAGATCTCTTAGAGATGGCTGATAAAACACCTGAAAGATGAAGAAGAAAAACCCACCTCAAAGTCTTTCAACTATATAGAAAATATTAGTGTTATATCATCACTGATAAACATTCACAGTTATCATAGTAGACTGACAATGGAGACTTTATGGTAGTGAAGCATTCTAGAAGTTTTCAAAATTTCCCATGAACAGCATTTTTTATTGCTATTGGCTATTCTATATGAGGACCATTCTAAAGCATTTTAGAAGCTCCTTAAGTTCTGTGTCCTTAATCTGGCACATACTACTTGTTTTTCTGAGACTGAAATTTGATTTTATGAATTCTCATGTTTTTACATTTAGTTTAATGGTGCGTTAACAACTACGATGTTCTGTAGTTTATTTATTGATTGTGGGAACTCTTCATGCCAATGGTTAGTTGCTTTCATGTAAGTCATGAACGTTGTCAAGAAAGATAAGGGTTCTTCAGACCTGCCTCATCCTATCCAAATTCCTGCACCAAAGCATGGTTAACTGGGCTGGGGAGCTGACTTGATTAAAATTAACCCAGGTTGTTTTTTATAGCTAATTTCAGTCTAGGTGATTTACCAGTCCAGCTCACTGAGTATCAGTGCGAACATCTGTGCTGACATATGAGAATTGGTGTGCCAGAGGGATGAGCAGGTAGACAAGAGAAAGGCTGGGGCTGTCACTTAGGGTGCTCCATCAAAGTGTTTATGGAAGGCTGGTGTTGCTCTCTGTTTTACACATCATTAATCCCATCTGAGATCCTGGCTGTTTACAAATTGGATTTCTGATTGGGCCCAATTCTGTCAGGTGCTTATGTGCTGATACTGTGGTTAATTCATTCCATGTGAAGATAACAGCAGGTTCCCAAATGTTGTGTTTTAGGCTGGGTGGGCCAATGGCAAGATGACAGATGCTCTCCCCCACCTCTCATTCCAAGGAGAGGAAGAAGAGAGATAAAGAGATTAATGAGTTTAGAAAAAACTAAACTACATAATGAAATATTAATAATAAAATAAAAAGGAAATAATGAAATAGACACAATATATATAAATATATACAAAACCGTATCAAGTTCCCAGGAAGATGGCACTGGAAAAGGTCCAGACTAGACTCAGTAAGAAATGGGAACTGGATTGCGGAAGTTACTCATGGGGATTGAAGGTAGACGAACTGACAGGGTTCTCCTCAGATGTCAGTCATTGAAGAAAGAAACTCATTGAAGAAGGGTCCTTGAAGAGGAGCCCACCTGGCCCCTTTGGCCCCTCAGCTTTTACACTGAACATGGCAGATGGGGTGGAATACCCTGTTGGTCAGTTTGGGTCACCTGATCTGTCCACACCTTCCCACGATGCAACCTCCCTATGGGCTAAACAACTAAGTCAGTCAACCAACCAATAGTTCAGAAAACAAAGCTTAAATTTTATTGGTGACAGTACTGGCTGACAGTCACCACCATCTCTCACCGCAAAACTCCATCTTCATTTCAGGACTCCATTTCAGTACTTCCACTTGTTTTAGTTCCGTACTTTCATCCTTAAAAGTAGTAATTTGCTAGTGACTTCTTTCATTTTAGTCAGATCAGAAACTTGTTTCTCTTCAGCATGTTTGTTTTTAATGAAGAGTCTGTTAAGAGCTGAAAGTCCTTATGTGTTATCTTAAGAAAAAAATCATACACTGCCAAAATTTAGTTGCCACTGTCAAATGTAGTAAGGGGAGGCAAGGCTGGTTTTATAAAACAGTCCATTCACTTGTGTCCTAGTATGCTATGTTAGCAAGCATCCCAATCTTAGTATTCCTAGAATGTCTTCACAGAAATGAAATGTGAAATGCTCCGTCACACGCACCAATGTGAACATCTCGCGCAGTGCATAGCTGCCTCTGCAGCGTTCCTTTGCTGAATCATTGCTAAGTTCAAAGGAGGGCAACCTTGCAGGCTTTTGAACTTGTCTTTGGCTGTCCAGCTTAAGCTGTTCCTGTGATCAGTCTAATCAGAAAATTTTTAAATTGGGAAGAGAAAAAAAAAAAGTTACTTGGTGTACTAAGAAGATAGCCAGATATAAATATCAGTAGAGAGTCACACTTCCTTGCTATTGTTAAGTTTGCATTTCACGTTAAGGCAACAGAAGGAACAGAATGTGCATGGGAAGTGCTGGATCTTTTGGATCTTGGTGACTAGGGTTTAATGGATGAAGACAAACTTTTGTTCATCGGTATTTAAAGCTTACGAGAGAGTTCTAACCTTGCTGTGATGTCTGGATCTTTACTGCTGATGCCTGATTAAGGAGGATATGAAAGGCATTCAGTGGGATGGTCATTGGTTAAGCTAATGAGCTGGAAGCCTGAGACAGGTACTGAAAGCTGATCCGTTCCATCTTCTATTAGAAGTATTAGCAGCCAGAAATTGTGGGCTTCACTTCTGAATGTATAACATAGGAACTTGGGAGGGGAGGAATCCGCTTTCTTAGCGTCATTATACCATGTTTTCATGGAAGCTGTCAAATGAACCAGTATTGGTGGTAGCTATATATTCAGGTATGAGTACTGATGCAGATGGTACTGTGAACTTTATCCTCTGCAAAGTAAGTTAAACTGGGTGGGATAACTGAATAAAACTAATATGTTTGGGACATGTTTTTATAGAAGGTAGAGTCTTCTTCGCTGGGAATTTGTGGTGAGGGTAATTCAGGGTCCCTTGGTATCAAAAATACATAGGAAAAATGAGTGGAACCCTATTTAGAGAATAGCACTGAGGCACTATTGGACTTTTAGGGGATCAGAGGTAATTATGGTGGATGGCAGGGGAATCTTGGCTGATGTTTTAAACTAATGATCATAACATGTCTACATATATGCAGACATCATGCTGCCAGCCCTGAAATAGGCTTAATCTGTTGTGGTACTGTGGTGATTTATGTCTGCTTTAAAAGTATATACAAGTATCTTGTCTGTGTGAAGTTGTATCACATAGGACGTGATAGTAGTTCACCACAGACAAAGGAAAGGGGCCCTATTCATTGTCGATCATCCTGCCAATTTTGTGACTCCAAAGCTCATTGAACTTGCAGGTTACCCTGCGCAATGTGCTAAGTCAGCAAAAAACTAACATTAAAAAAATTGACAGTTTTGTGTCAAGTTGGTGAATACAGTTGATTTAAAGGGGTTTACTGCCATCTGAACTGTCACAAATGAGAGGTGAAAGTTGAGGAACTTGAAGTAGGTAGAGCTGGTGAGAGAGAAGGAAAAGTGAGATCTCTTACTAGCCTCCCTCCAGTGGCAGAGAGATCAGCTTAGCTGCTTGCAAAACCACAAGCTGTGGTTTCTAGTTTCTAGGGTAAATATAGAAGTGACACAAATGTGGGATAGTTGAATACTGAATACAGCTTGCACGTTACTACATAGAAATTGTAAGTCGTGTAGCTTTTGGCTCTTTTAATTTACAGTAACTTTTAGAAATAATTTTATTTGTTTTGCAAAGGGTTGAAAGAAATTGCTAGTAGCAAAATCAACTTGAATAAGATATTTGAAGCTGAAGGACAGACTTCTTCAGTTTTATATATTCATTAGACGTCTTTTGTCTTTTGATTTGTAATAAGTTGTAGTTGCTTTGGCTTGGTTGAGCAGCAGACCAACAGCTGACTGCGTATATACACACATGCGTATGAACGTCTGCACATACACATTCTTGTTCTTTATCCAGTATGATTTAAAATGTATGTTTGAAAAGTCTACAGCCAGTATCAGTAATGTTCATTAAATGGGTTATAATTATGTTGAACTTAAAGCTGGGCTGTTAGCAGTAGTAGTGAGTCAATGGTGAATTCAAATGCCCAAATATGCTTGTGGGGAGTTTGTTTAATGTTTTTAATAATTTTTTTCAGTGGTGTTTTCCAGCCTGATGTTCTTCAAAACTAATGTCGTTACACATTCGAGAGAAGTGTTCTTATTAATTAAAACAATAATCAGCATTGTCAAAAATGTGATGTTCAGTGCTTGTAAATAATATTGATTATTAATGACCTTTTTTGGGTGTGGGTTGTTTTTTTTTTAGATTCAGCAATTGGAGGTGCTGCTGCTTCAAATTATGCAAATTCCACTTGGGGTCCTGGAGCCTCCTCCAACAGTGGCACCAACGCCAACCCAACTCACATCTGGGACAAGGTGATTGTAGACGGGTCTGACATGGAAGAGTGGCCTTGTATTGCCAGCAAAGATGCTGAGTCTTCTTCCGAAAACAACACCGATAACAACAGTGCCTCGAACCCTGGCTTGGAGAAGAATGCTCTGCCAGGAAGCACCACTAGTAACAAAGGAAAAGGAAGCCAGTGCCAGTCTGGAAGCGCTGGAAATGAATGTAATCTTGGGGCCTGGAAATCTGATCCCAAGGCTAAATCTGTTCAATCTTCCAACCCTGCTGCCGAGAGTAACAATGGACTAGGTAATTGGAGGAACTTGAGTGGACAAGATAGAATTGGTCCCAGTTGTGGCTTCAGCAACTTTAACCCAAATAGCAACCCGTCTGCTTGGCCGGCACTGGTTCAAGAGGGCAATTCTAGGAAAGGGACTTTGGAATCTGATAGTGGTAGCTCCAATGCACAGATTAGCACAGTAGGTCAGACCTCTAGGGAACAGCAGTCAAAGATGGAAAATGCGGGTGTTAACTTTGTCTCTGGCAGAGAACAGGCTCAAATTCATAACACTGATGGACCAAAAAATGGAAACACTAACTCCTTGAACTTAAGTTCACCAAACCCTATGGAGAATAAGGGAATGCCCTTTGAAATGGGCTTGGGGAACCCTTCCAGGAGCACTGACACCCCTTCACAAAGCACTGGAGAAAGAAAGACTGGGAGTGTTGGATCTTGGGGTACAGCTAGGGGGTCTTCTGGAACTGACACAGTCTCTGGACAGAGCAATTCTGGAAACCATGGGAACAATGGAAAGGATAGAGAGGACTCCTGGAAAGGAGCTTCTGTTCAAAAACCTAATGGGTCAAGAAATGATTCTTGGGATAACAATAACCGGTCTACGGGTGGTGGGTCTTGGAACTTTGGCCCTCAGCATGCAAATGAAAGCAAATGGGGTGAAGGGAACAAATTAACATCTGGGGTCTCTCAGGGAGAATGGAAACAACTGTCTGGGTCTGATGAACTGAAGATTGGAGAATGGAGTGGTCCAAACCAACCAAATTCTAGCACTGGAGCATGGGACAATCAAAAAGGCCACCCTCTTCCTGAAAACCAAGGCAATTCCCAGGCTCCCTGTTGGGGAAGATCTTCCAGCTCTGCGGGAAGTGAGGTTGGAGGTCAAAGCACTGGAAGCAACCACAAAGCAGGAAGTAGTGACAGTCACAATTCTGGACGCCGATCATATAGGCCTACGCATCCCGATTGCCAGGCAGTCTTGCAGACTTTGCTGAGCAGGACTGATTTGGACCCCCGAGTGCTTTCAAACACCGGCTGGGGCCAAACTCAAATTAAGCAAGATACCGTATGGGATATTGAAGAGATGCCACGGTCCGAGGGGAAGTCTGATAAAGGAACTGAGGGGTGGGAGAGCTCTACCACACAGACAAAGAACTCAGGGGGCTGGGGCGATGTACCCAGCCAAAGCAATCAAATCAAGTCTGGATGGGGTGAGCTCTCAACCCCAACAGAGTGGAAGGACTCCAAAAATACTGGAGGATGGAATGACTATAAGAACTCCAATTCTTCTAATTGGGGAGGAGGAAGACCAGAAGAAAAATCATCTTCCTCTTGGAACGACAGCTCTAGTAAGGATCAGGGGTGGGGTGGACGTCAGCCTAATCAAGGATGGTCTTCTGGAAAGAACGGTTGGGGAGAGGAAGTTGACCAAACAAAAAACAGTAACTGGGAAAGTGCAGGAAACAAGCCAGTGTCTGGTTGGGGTGAAGGTGGGCAAAATGAGATTGGAACTTGGGGTAATGGTGCAAATACAAATACTGCTTCAAAGGGTGGATGGGATGATTGTAAAAGAAATTCAACATGGAATGAGACGGGTCGACAGCCCAACTCCTGGAACAAGCAGCAGCAGCAGCACCAGCAGCAACAGCAGGAGTCTTCTGGTTCCTGGGGTCCACCACCCCAAACTCCAAGTAATGGGCGACCTCCAAACCCAAACTGGAACAGCGGACCACAGCCAGCTGCCCCCAAAGAGGAGGAGCCTAGTGGCTGGGAAGAACCTTCTCCACAGTCAATCAGTCGAAAAATGGATATTGATGATGGCACTTCAGCATGGGGAGATCCCAGCAGTTATAATTACAAGAATGTGAACCTGTGGGACAAGAACTCACAAGGAGGACAGGCCCCACGGGAGCAGAGCCTGCCTACTCCAATGACTAGCAAATCACAAGCATCAGGTACTGTTCTTGTTCCTTTTTTCAGCAAGCTCCTACATATGAATGTAACCTTAATGCGTAAGAGATACTTGCGTAGTCCCCAGTTTCTAATAGTTTTATTCCATAAAGAAAACCAATTTCTTATTTGAATATTTGGTGCTGTATTAAAGTGTCTTTTAAATTTGAATCAATCGATCCTCTGCTGCTTGTGCCTCAGTAACTGTGATCGGAATACTGGTCAGCTTGCCAGTAAAAGAGAATGTTTGTTAGCTAACAAATTTGCATATTCAATCTGGGCTCTGAAGAATAATTTGAATTATAGAATTACACAATCATTTAAGCTGGAAAAAACTTTTTAAGATGATCAAGTCCAAATGCAAACCTAACACTGCCAAGTCTACCACTAAACCATGTCCCCAAGTGCCACATCTACTTGTCTTTTAAATACCTCCAGGCATGGTGACTCAAACACTTCCCTGGGCAGCCTGTTCCAATGCTTATAACCGTTTTTGGTGAAGAAATTTTTCTTATACCCAATCTGAACCTCCCCTGGTGCAATGTGAGGCTGCTTCCTCTTTTCCTATCACTGCAACTTGGGAAAAGAGACCAACACCCACCTCACTACAACCTCATTTCAGGTAGTTCTAGAAAGCGATAAGGTCTCTCCTCAGCCGCCTTTTCTTCACGTTTTTTATAAATCAAGCTTTTTAAATCACTTTTTATTTAAAAAAAATCGTGTTTTTTGCTCAATTTTGTTTTGCCATTTGATAAAGAATACTTAGCAAAATATTTTTTTCTTTGAAATAAGGAGGAAAAAAAAGCTATATAGCCTGGAAATACATTGAGATGTTATTGTTATGTAACCTCTTGTCTGACTTGGACATGCTTTAGAAAATACTATTTTATTTTAATATGTACTTCAAATATGTCCTTATTCTTTCTTCATTATATTAAAACCCTGAGTTAGTCTGGTGCTTTTAATTAATCACAGAAGTTCACCAGGTAGGAAGACTGCCTTAGATGTGGGGTTCATGTTGAACCCGGGAGAAGAATATTCCTCATTGTAGCATTCTCTTCTTTTTCATCCCTAGAGGTCAGTGCCTGCTTTAAGTTTGATGTGAACAGTTGTCCATTCTGTTGCACCCACTCTATTGAGAATCTAAAGTCCTCAACAAAAAGAATGAAGCAGTAGCTTAATGACGCGGTGCTGCACTGCAGTAAATAGTTCATTGTCTAAATGGTCTGTAATGAAAACTCTTTCTCCTTTGTGCAGTCTGGAGCAAAAGCACTCCACCTGCTCCAGATAATGGTACGTCCGCCTGGGGTGAGCCAAATGAAACCAGTCCTGGGTGGGGTGAAGTAGATGATACAGGAGGATCGACAACAGGCTGGGGGAATGCACCTTCCAACGCCCCGAATGCCATGAAATCTAGTGAGTATAGGCCAGATACCAGTTTCTTTGCAATAGTCCTGGAGATTTTTTCGTGTTTGGCCTTTTGGTATAGGTCACCCACGGAGGAATTCTTTTCTAAGGCCTAGAAGCAATGTTGAATGTCATGTGTAAGATTTTGATGGATGAGTGATTGTTTATAGATGACTGGAACTTGTGTCTTTTAAGGTAAGGAAAAATTTCTGAACTAGTTAAATGAAAAAAAATTCTGAACAATTAAATGGGCAACTCCAATTTGTGGACATGTTAAGACATTAGAGCATCTGAGTGAGGAAATATGTCTTTTCCTCAAAATGTCTCCTCCTTTGGCTGCCCACTCATTACTTAGCATATAAACTCGGAACAAGATAAATCACTTTTCCTGATCACATCAGGAAAAGGAATGCACAGTAAGGACAAATTTCACTGTGGAGGCCATTACATGGTAATCTATGCTTTGGTAATGCAACTTGCCTTTGAATGGATTTTTTTATTGTATGAGTGTGGAAAATTGTAACTCTTAAGAACTGAACTTTCTTTTGTGGTCGAACCTAAATGGATGACTATTTTGTGGATATTGCCTGCCTAGGGCTGTGTTCTTCATGAATGAGATGTTGTTGAAAACTTTAAAAAAAATATTTTGCTGTATCAAGAATTTTATTTTTGTGGAAATTATTCCTGCTGATGTAAGCTGTTTGTAGAATTTTTTTATTTCACCCTTTTAAAGGAAAATACAACAAACAAAAGCAATCACCTGCTAATACAACGTTGCAGTGTTATAGCCAAAGCCAATAACATTTGGATGTGGAGTTTCCAGTAGGAAACAGTGATAATACATGACTGTTACTGAACTTGACTGATGATGCCCACTGTAAAACTGTTGCCAGTTACAAGTTGCTTTTGCAACATGTAATTATTTGGAATGAAATGGTCTATAGAGATTGTATGCTGTTGGATCATTCTCCCTTCCTCCTGCTCCAATTAAATAGTATGGCCACTTTTGAGAAAAACTAGTGAAAAAAGCATTGCTTCCTTAGTGTTGACATTAGAACATCTTCTTATGGGTTTAAATATCACCAAAATAAGAGCCTCTGAAATGCTAATGTTTCACTGCAAATTCTTTGGATTTGTTAATACTTAATACAGTCTTTAAAGACTATGTGTGGTCACTTGCTTGTCCTAACTGGTTTTCATTTGTGAAATAACCAAAGAGCTGCAGCATACATGTATTATTTTGTACGTAAACTGTCCCCAGCTCTACAGGAGCAAAATACAGGGAGTTTTCCCCATTATGGCTATTTATAGTTGGTGTAGTAGGTCACCAGTAGTAAGGGCCGAGATCTTCATGCTCCTCTGTTCTGTGACTACTTTCTCAACTCCTTTCTAATTGGCACCTAGAAGCAATGAAGAAGAAAAGCTACATTATTCAGTGGAGTAAAGGGAGATACTTAATGTCTTGAGTAAGTTGGAAGAAGAAATTGGGACAAAGAGCCTGCAAAGGCTTAACTTATGGTTGAAGGTAAGGACAGGAAACAGACTAGTAATGATTGGAAAAGAAAACAGGAGTTTAGAGATGAAGAAGGGAAACATAGAACATTACCCACCTGTTCTAATAACAAAAGAAAAGAAAATATTTATGTAGTTTTATCAGGATTGCATAGGAATTTTCTGGCAGATATAGAAATAAATTGAGTTTTGTGTAACATCATTACTTCATCTTCATCTTGAAAGTTTCCTTTACTTACTATAGCTGTTTGTGCCTCCTCACTTAAATGCAGAAAATGAAGCAGGAATCCTACAGACTAAGTCATCTTTACAGCACGGTCCAGATTCGTGTTCAAGAATCTCATACCTGAGAGCTGTCAATGCAGAAAAATAATCTGTGGTCATGTAGTTAAAACCAGGATCATAGTACTATATTTAAACAGTGTGGCTGGAAATAAATTAAAGCTGCAGGGACTACCCCATAAATGACATTTCCAGATTAAGTTCTTGACTCTGCACTCATAATCCTTAAATGGAGCCTTTTTTGTGTAAGCAGCGTGATTAAAGGGTCAAGAGATATATTTTTGCACTTGAACCAGTGTCCTTCCTAAGCAGTCCTCAATTTTGGTACACAAATGAATATATTTTAAAAAGTTATGTTCCCTGTGAAATATCTGAGTTAGTATTTATCTTTGATTTTAAGGTAGCTCTTAAACTGCCAGGAAATGCTGTTGTACGTATTTTCAGCATGATCAAGGTAGAGTTCCCCTTAAAATACTAATTATGATTCCTGCTTTTTGTTTATATTCAAATTTTCTGCTGCATGCATTAGTATTCATATCCCTGATTTCCACACTCAAAAGCCAGGCAATTGAATAATTAGTTATGAAAAATGTGATGGTGATGGTAATCCTTTATAAAGGAGATAAGTACTTGGGGAAGAAATATGCAGAATGAAGAGTTACAGCAGGAAGGAGAACAGTTGGACAGTGAACAAGATGAGGATTTGAGCTCTTGTTGGCTTGTCAATAGAGGTTAGAATTTTTGAGTTGCCTGACAGCTGGTGCTAGAGAGTAACAGCAAGAAAAGAAGCCAACAGGGAAGAGTCGTTAGTCTGAATTGATATCATGAAATGGTTGTAGCTTTCTGGTAACGGCATCTCTACTTAAACAGCACTGCTAATGACTTTTTAGTGACTTGGTTAAGAACAAAAATTCAAGTAGAGGGTTGGTTTTTTTCCACATTAAACTGCTTTTGATGTTACGTATACCAGAGTACGATGTCAGGTGCTCTCCTTCAGATTCTGCTTAGTTGTTATTCCTTAAAGGTCTTTGTTTCTGTAATTTTGTGAAATGTTATGGTTTTGAAGGAAGAGAGAAAATAATTGCTAAACTACCTGAACTAGAACCAACCACGCGTGGTTTTTAAGTATCCTGGAAGTCTTTCTTTACCTGTATAAGAGAAGAGGTCCCTGTGGCTATTAATGTCTTTAAGTGTTTGACATTGCTTGAAAATAGTTGTAAAACATGACATGCTAGCATGCCACTGAATCTCATGGGTTTTGGGATTCATGCACATATTTCCAGCCATTAAAGTGTGTGGTTGTTTTTTTTATTTACTCCTTTGAGGTTCTGATGATCTTAGCTAATCTTGCAGTGTCAAGTCCCCAGCTGCACGGTATTGTAGACTGCTTTTGAGCCTTTTTTTTTTTTTTTTTTTTTAAGGTCTATAGTGTGTGGTTGTTTTTTTTATTTACTCCTTTGAGGTTCTGATGATCTTAGCTAATCTTGCAGTGTCAAGTCCCCAGCTGCACAGTATTGTAGACTGCTTTTGAGCTTTTTTTTTTTTTTTTTCTTAAGGTTCTAAATCTATGCAAGATGGCTGGGGAGAAAGTGATGGGCCAGTGACAGGAACACGTCATTCCAGCTGGGAAGAGGAGGAGGAGGGAGGAGTCTGGAACACAGCAGGCTCTCAGGGAAGCAGTTCCTCCCACAACTCAACAAGCTGGGGGCAAGGAGGAAAGAAAACAACACAAATGAAGGTAAAATCCTTGAATGATTCATAACTACTGTGTTGTCTGAAAGCTGTATGACTGATGTGTTACAGCATTATAATAGTAGTTCTTCTAAAAAGAATTCAGCTAGAAAGGTGCTTGTTACAACAGCGTAAAAAATGTGAGGTTTCTGGATTTGTTTTAAGGTATTACACCTGTTGTGACTAATAAATCTGCCAGTAGGTGTCAAATTCTTTTGGTATGTAAGCTGCGGAGCCATTACTAAGTGAAACTGAGCAATAAGTATCCCAAGGCTATTGCTCTTCCCTTGTTGACACATCTTTCAGTGTTAGGCTGCTGCTGTTCTCCTTGCATAGCTTGCTAAAGTTTGGATTCCACAGTCCCTTTGGCACATGCACTTCTTTCTTATTTCTACTGACTGTTTGACTTAGCTTATTCTACTTAGCTTATTTCTACTCACTGTTTGGCTTGTGTTTGTTGTTACTGACCTTCGGCCTCAAACAGGAGAAGGAGCTTGGCTATAGTCCTGAGTAAATGGCTTTCTAAAGTTTTTTTGTATGAAAGTTCTCTAATACAGTAATATTTGGTACTGTATTAATATTAGAAAGACTATGCTTTGTCTACTTCTAATCACATAGCTAGGGAAAACTCAAAAGGCAAGTACAGAGCAGCTTCCTAGGATGTGGAAATACTGTTGTGACATGGTATGGAGTTTTACAATTCCTATTTTGCCAAAATTACGTTCATGAACTTCTTTCTTACTTAAAGTTGGGGGTTTTTTTAACCATCAAAGCAACTCTTAAAAAAAAATTCTGTACAGCTGTGTTCGGTTTTGGTTTTGATCACCTGTAAATAATGGTAAGGCCAAATTGAGAGCCAGGTCAGCACAGTGCCCAGGTAAGAGAAACCATATCAAAGAGAAGAAAGCCAAGGAGGAAGTCCACCTCTATATATGATGGATTAAAGAATATATTAAACTGTAACAGAGGAAAAAGTAAATGACATTCACAAAGCTTTCCAGGTTACAGAATGAAACCGGAGGTGTGATAAACATTCTACACAGCAAGTGTTCATCCAGTCTGGTGTACCTAATAATGAACAATTTTGAGGGAAAAGAAGAACAAAGCATTTGGTAAATGTTTCCAACCATGCAAAAAATTAAACTAACTTGTTCAGGAGATTATTTTCTCTGATAGCAGGATTTTCATTTGATATTTGTGCATCTCAAGAATAAAACAGAATTTAAGAAGTTGCTTATAAGTTTTATGTTTTTTTTTTTCTTCAGTGCGCATTAAAAGGAGGAAATAGTGATTCATGGATGAACCCTTTATCCAAACAGTTTTCAAATATGGGCTTGCTAGTAAGTAATTTTTTTAAAGTATAAAATCCAACTTTAAAAAGCAGTAAGCTTTAAATAAGCCAAAAGATAAGCTGTTCTACTGTGTAACATCTTACTTATCTGCATTTGCTATGCTGACGTGTTGATTATAATGCCTGTAACAACTGGATATTTAGCACTTCCTTGTTAGTCAGAATGGCTTCTCAGAAAACCCCAAAACCTCCTTTGGCTCTTCAGACTCACTTTATGACAGCTGTTGTTCTGAGATCGCAATTTCCTTGCCAATGATAGGATTTGGGGGTGTTGTTTGTTTCTTTGTTTTTATTTTATTTTCATAATGTGCCATTTAGAGCACTCAAGGTAAAGGCCTCAGCTCCTGACTAAAGTCAGCCATATGTGATTAGTCCAAAGCTATTTATTCATTCTGAATCTCAGCCACCTATCAGAAAAGGAGATTCACAATCCTCTGTCTGTCTTGGGTATTTATATTTTAAATACTGTGTAGTGGGGTCTTTTTAGAACAAAAAAGGCTTGTTATTAATCGGTACTTAAAGATTGATTAGTGAAGTAACTAAATAGATGGCACATCATGTAAAGAAAAGACATTTAATTAATTTGTAAAACATTTTACAGAATATTCCTCCTGTGAAGCAGGAATAGTATGCAATACAGGCTAGTGAAAGGTGATAATGCAGAGGTTCTGTGAGAAGCCCAGGGCTGCACAAATTGTCACTGACATGACTAGGATTAGTTTGTAATGCCTGTTGGCTGCTAAGCTCAAATTCAGTCTGCTGGACCGTAGGTGCTTCTGAAAGCTATGGGAACACCCTGTACCACACTGCCAACTAAAGAATAACTTGGCAGCACACTTCAAGTTTCAGTGACTTGACAGGTCATGAGGATGAGCTATCGTTTTGGCCACTATTTTCAGTCTTTCATCTCTCGACCACTGGAACATGAGGACAGAGGTTCATTTCACAGAGCAGCTGTCCATCTATCTTTCTCTGTTGCATGTGTTCATGTGTCTAGTTTTGTATGGGTAAACTTCCCACATACATCATTAGGGAGTCGAGATGAGGGGTGTCCAGTGTGATATCGGGAATCCTTGTATTTGATTTTAGTGTAAAATAAAACTTTTTCATTGGCACAAGCACGTTGTTCCTTCACTCCACCTTTAATCATCAAGGGCTGCTTTCTGAAACATTCCTCAGCATTTCATAGAAGTCAGAACTGAATTTTATCTTTTTTTTTTTTTTTCCCCAGAGTCAAACCGAGGACATTCCAGGCAGTAAGATGGACTTGTCTGTAGGTGCGTATAATTTAATTTAAATGTATTTGGAATACGAGATCACGTGTAGTATTTTTATGTGGATGATGTGCTGTGCTTTGGAAAGGCTTGATCCTTACTTTTAGCACACCTCATAATAAAAAGATAGATTTATAGCATCTTGGCTGTAGGCTTTGAAAAGTTTCACACCTGATGCTCGTATGCAAGATAGAGATGTATACCTGTACAGAACGGAGCTATAACTTAATGGAAGGGGCATCCTATAAGACCATTCGATCCATGTAGTTTGTATTCAGTATTACTGTTTCAAGAAAGTTGAAGATCCCTTTTAATGTGGTGGATGAGGAGAAGTATTTTAGCTCTTTGACCACAGTTCCCTAGAGGTGAAGTGGGGGAAAAGACTGTGTTCTGTTGTTGATTTTCTTCAGTTGCTTGCCTTAGGCTATTAGAAGTTACCATACAGTAGAATTAGATTTTTCACTCTTGATAGCCTCACCACAAATACTGTACAGCTTAAATGGGATGGACTGTGTGGAAAACACTATCCTAAATGAGTGTTGGAATTTACCACTTGGATTAATCCCATTTAATCAGCTTTGAATTTGTCATGACTTTCTTCTTTGGCAAACAAAGTAGTGAACTCTCAAAGAAATGTGTTTTTAATCTTAAAATCAGATTCAGTTTTGTGTTCTCTTCTCCATATTGTCTCTGGATGTTCAGTATCATGGTATTGTAATAGAAATGCCACAGGTTTCTGAAATCAACAGCCATTTGAGATAGTTTCCCTACAAGATTCCTAAGGTATATATTAAAAATGGATGATCCAAATCTGCAGTTCCAATTGTTAATTTTATTCTTTATGAAGACTTTGAGAGCTTAGTAAGGCTAAAAACTTGTACAGGATAGTCTTTGATACTGACAACATGGAACAGGGTTTCATTCATGTTCTAGTGACTACTTCTGTTCTGGTTTTGGCTCTTCAAAATGAATGGAAGCAGGAAGATCACCTCATATCCCTGGCTATGAAGACAGATCTTCTAGTCCACTTAAAGGACTTTGACACTGTACAAACCCGATAATAATTTTTGAAAGACATGTTAATTCTATTTCTGTAACTGTTAGGAATGTTACAGAGGCCTCTGATTCCTCACAGTTACAATGTCATAAGTCAGAGAGGTCTGTAGTTATTGCAAAGGATGATATGTCACACGTGATGCTATAGTCAGGATTTTCCCAACCAGAAAAATTATTTTATTGGCAATATCCATTAATCTTTGTTGGTACCAAAGGTAGAGTTGTGATAGTCAAGACTTACTTGCATCCACTATCAATTCCAGATTTGGTACTCTCAGGCAATCCAGTAGCTGCAGTGTCTCTTAGCTTAGCATCCAGTGCATTCTTAAAACATGTATCACACTTCATGGAGGATTAAGTGGTTCATTTTTCCCAAAATTGCTTCCTTCCTCTGAATAGTTAAGGATCCCAATAAGAGATGTGAAAGTGTGCATTTATATAGCACAGTGCAGTTGTGGGGAAGGTGACAAAATTTTTGGATATTTCCCTTTTGGCCTCGTACAGTGTCTTTAGAATTCATGTTCTGATTGTATCATGCTTCTCTGAAGATCTTCTAGGAGATAAATCATCTTCTTGCATGCTCAGTTCTTCGATTCAGTGTTCATCTGCCTTCAGATACTGCTGTTAAGGAACAGATCTAAGAATATATAAATGAAGAGAATGGTAGCCTGGATTACACTGATTATAGCTCTCAGTTCTTTATCTCCAAATTAAGCTTTTGGATTTTCTGCTCTCAAGGACCTTAAAAACATCAGACCTTCTGAGGAAAGATGGCTGATGCTCAGAATATCCTGTGAAATGATGCAGAAAGCTTACGTACTTAGTCTTGATACATTGCACTTCTTCAAGTTTAGTGTGGCGATTCTTGATCCTAGGTGGAGAGTCATTTGTTAGAGTTTGTGTTCCATTTCAAAGACTAAGAATTTAATGGATAATTCCTGAAGCTTTTCTGTTCTCTGCATAGCAGTTTGCTCTTGTTGCTTGTGGAAGACTATAAGCTGTTTTGCTCAGCCTACGTCTACTTCAAAACTTTAAAAGTTAGACTTACTTATGAGGTAGGCTTGTTCTTCAACTGTTTTGCAGTCAGGCTTACAATATACCAGGTTTTCCTAACTAGGTAACTCCCAGCATGATTCTTAACTGGGTAACTCACAGCATGATATTTTCCCAGTTAATGGATAAACGCACATTGATCTCAAGAGTTAAATCTGTGCTTAGAGGCCACATGTATCAAAGAAAACTTCGGCATGCACAGAGAACCTTGACTCTGGTCATCATGCATCATGAAATAGGTCCAGTTGTCAGTAAGTAATTCTTACTACGTTGATCTCAGTCTCCCTGTTGGAAAAATGTATTGCTTTATTGCAAGGTGCTGGAGTGAAACTTCTATTTACTGCTGAAGACAGAAAAGAGATGACTCAATAGCATGCCTGAAACAGATCTACTTCCTCTTTTCTTTTTTATTTTTCTATCAAATCCCTTCAAAGGATAGCTTGTTTTACTTTGAAAACTTTTTTCCACTGAACTCTCTCCTAGTATGTAAGTACCGAGGCATGAAGTTTGCTACAGTAAGCAGCTTATCAAAACCACTTAATATTTTTTATCTTTTCTTTCCCTCTGTTTGACAACCATCTTTGTTTTTTATTTTTTTCTTAAAGTATTAGTTGCAACCTCTGCATATCACTGAATCCTCAAATCACTTGTAAAGACTCAGGAATTAATTTCCAATTTCTATTGATTCAAATGCAGTTCATGCAGCTATCTATTGTAAATATGTTACAAAGCCATAACCTGGTTTAGCATTCAGGTGCAAAACCTCCATATCTAAGTGCACGTGCTTGTTCAGTAGGCTTAGATGATACAAATTTATGGCAAAGGTATAAAACCAGTATCATTAAATGGTTTTAGTCAAGCAGAAAACTTGTTTCAAATGGTGTTTTTTTCCATTTGGTTTACCCTGCTGGATGTGTGTATTTTCACCACATTGAGTCTCCCGCTTGCAAATATTTTAGGTAACTTTGCTCAACAGCATTTTCTATCTCCGACCTCCTAGTACAGGATCACATTAGGTAATGTAGTTTGTATGGAATTCTTCTTTTTTTTTTTTTTTTTTTAAGCTACATGCATGCGGTGGGGGAGACCTACTTAATGGGGGAT